GCTGAAGTCGCGCAGGAAGGCTGAGCTGTGACTTGTGGCTTGAGCTGTGTTTGAAGTCCAGTGTGCCTGCAGAAGTCATACTGAAGCTGGGGTTTGTGTTGGTCTCTCTCTGTTGGCTGTGTTCTAGAACATCATTAGCTACATCATGTATTAGCAAGGATTTTTCTTAAAAAAAATTGGCCATGGTATCGGTTTTCATTTGGCAAATGGAAAGGCCTTCAGGAAAAAGGAACATCTGTACACAAAGTGTCTTTGTTCCTTTGCAAACAGATGTCTTGGAATGGCAGATTATGTCCCGTACATCCTAAATCGCATGCAAGCACTAGTGGCAACCTTCAGCTGAGGTTTTGGGGGCTGCACTTCTTGCAGGGCAAAATCCCCTCTCTTTGCATGTAGAAAAACTAATGTCAACGTTTTCACCCATCAGCTTTCTAGGAGAGCTGGTTCATCTTTCCTGTAGTGTCGGCGGGACCCCAGCGAGATCCCTGACCCGATGCGGGTGCTGCGGCCGTCGTGCCGCTGGGCTTGGTCTGTCCTCAGGGGTAACACTATGGGGGAAAGATAATTTTAATGATGACTTACTGACTGTGTGGTAGACTCTTGAGCTGCCTTACCTCTGGGTTGCCAGGTTTTTGGTTGGGTGAGATACCAGTTTGTGAGTTGGGTGATATTTTCAGCCAGGAAGCAGAAAGAACATTTATTTCCAGCTGTGGCTGAATGCTTTTGTGCTTGGCTCTTGGAGGGCCTCCTCCGAATACATACAGCTAGCGGAGAGACTGTTGTCGTGTCTTGGTCGGTGCTCGCCAGGTGTTAAATTCATATCTGCTTTTTGAAATGCAGCTCATGAATTAAACATGAGCTTTCTAGGTCAGAGGGATTAAAAATCTTTTTAATTAGCTAGTTGTTCTGGAGTTGAATATGTGTAGGTAAGAAGGACAGTGGTTTGTGTGAAGTGAGTGCAGCCTGCTGCTGTCTGGGCAAGGCCAGCTGGAGTTAGGGTCACTGGGACACGGGGAGTGGAATGCAGCAAGAGTGGATGAAGCTGAACCTCTCAGTTTCCTTAAAGAAGAACGTTTTCCTAATGCAGCACAGAGGACTGTTGGCATTGGGCGTCAGCAGAAACGCTGCGAAAGGTAGTGTGATCGGACAGAGAGAGATGGGCAATCCCCGGGCTTTTCTGATCATCACAGGTAACTGCTTGGCAAGAACTTGTGGGCATCAGAGCTGGAGAGGGAGCAGGCCTGCTGGTCCCCAAGGCAGGAGAGGAGCCCATTTGGTCCTTTGCAGAAGATTAGGCAAGGAAGTAGGCTGTGCTGCTTTCCTCACACAGTGGAAAAAGCCTTCTGTCTCCCTAAAGCCCTGCTTTAACCCCCAGTTTTGAGAAGTTACTTGGAATCATTTTGGAAGCAGTTTTCTTACTGCTTGTAAGCATGTTTAAGTGCTTGGCCACTAAGTGCCATCTTTATAAAGTTGGGTAATCTATAGTTTGATATGTGTTACTTGAAAGATCTGCCTTTGAGCAGAAAGTGGGATATCAGCAGAAAAATATTTCCAATTATGGGAGATAGTGCAGGGAGAGAGATTAAAGTCAGACATGTGGATTGCTCATACTCAAAAGTCCTCACTGTAAATGCAAGTAATAATTAACTGAATAAAATATCTCTTGGTTTCTTACTATCAGACATTCCGTCCTGCTGCAATGTTGATAGAAAGATCATCTGATTTTGGAAAAACGTGGCAAGTGTATCGGTATTTTGCATATGACTGTGAGAGCTCATTTCCTGGGATTTCAACTGGACCCATGAAGAAAGTGGATGATATTATTTGTGATTCCCGATACTCCGACATTGAACCTTCAACGGAGGGAGAGGTCAGAGGGTTTTTTTTCCAATATGTGTATTGTGTAGACTCTTTCTGTACAAATTCAGATTCTTTTATTTTTAAAGCTGAACCTTTCGTTGTACCATTTTTCCTCCAGGTAATATATCGTGTTTTAGATCCTGCTTTTCGAATCGAAGATCCATACAGTCCACGGATTCAAAGTATGTATGCAGCTACCTGCCAGGCTCATTTGAAAGCATTTCTGTACTTATTTACTTACTGGTGAGAAAGAATAAGCCACAAATGAAGTCATGCATTAGCTCCAATAACGGTTTTGAAGTGTGTGAATACATTTGTGGTATAGCTTCTTTTCCTGACTCGGACAGTGACGTGCTGGGAAGTCACGGTCAGCGTTGCCACCTCAAGCGGTTGCTCTTACACGTGTCATTGTAGTTGGTCCTTTTCTTAATTGATCAGGGAACCATTTTCTTTAAAGAGCCCCCTCCCCAAAATACATGCAGTTGCTGATGGAAAGCTTGGAACATGATCCTGTAATTGTACAGTGTTCAGAATGCAAAGAAACAGAACTACAGTGGCACTTGCATCATTTTGCATTTCTAGCTAAAATCAAGGGGGTTGCATTTTATTTTTTAGAATGCCTGAGTTGTGGCCGTTGAACAGCTGGCCTTGGTGGCACTGCATAGCTGGACCACGCAGATGCGGTTGTAAAACACAGGTTACTGCAGCATTCCTGTGTTTTACATGGCATTCCAGGAACACAGTGGTAGAGAGGTCTGTGCCCTTTATGTGCCTCACAGAGAAACCTCATGGGGCATTTGGCCTGAGTACGAAACTGCAGTGCTTGGCCTTAAACTTGACCTTCATTTTAATATCCATTCTCAGTTTTGGTTCGTGTCCTTCAGTGTAAAGCTAACTGGAGCAGAAGAAAATACCTGAAGTGGAAGTGGCTGCTAGTTGCTCTCTTGGTTGAATGTTTTTTAACCAAAGTTTTAAAGGGGGAAACTATGAGAAAGACTCTGGTTTCATGGGCTTGAAGTGCTTTTGCAAGCCTAGTTTGAAGGCTCTAAGAAATTACACAGGATTCAAAGTATCAAAGTGAACATGTAGACTGAAATAATTACTGCAGTATTGTCTTCCCATGGATTATATCCCTTGAGAACTTCTTTGTATTTGGTCAGTGTAACTAATTATATTTGCTAGGAAAGTTGGGCATATAAGAAAGAATGATATATTCACATCTTGTTTCCGACCAAGATGTTTTCCAAAAAGCTCATAACTCTTAAAGCTCCTCGTCCACTTGTCAGCAATTCCTTAATATCAGGTCATTGCTCATCCTGCATTTTAGAACCCCAAAGGACCAGTATTTCCTTTTGTGGTATTGTTGCATGTGTTTTTAATATTTGTCTTTGTGCCTGCGGATGCCTGCAATAAAATCGACTAGATTTTTTTAATTAAGCTTAAACCTAGACAGTGATCCACCTGTAGTAAAATAATGTGATTTAAAAAAAAAATCGGGAGTATGAAGTGATGTGATGGGTAGTACATAAATGCTGAAATTAAATCTGATCTAATCTACCCATAGAAAGTGTCACTCCTGGTTTCCTCTTATTCCATACAATATCTGGTAAATAATCCCAAAACGGAGTGTTTTTTTGGTGTCCCCTGCAGACCTATTAAAAATCACAAATCTGAGAGTCAAATTCATCAAGTTGCACACACTGGGAGATAATCTCTTGGACTCGAGGATGGAGATTAGGGAGAAGTACTACTACGCCATCTACGACATGGTGGTTCGCGGGAACTGTTTCTGCTACGGACACGCCAGCGAGTGTGCGCCCGTGGATGGCTTTACCGAAGAGGTGGAAGGAATGGTAAATATTCACTTATCCTTTCTCCACAAAGCTATTCCTGTCTGTGCCTTTTCTAAGCGATTTAAGCACATTTAAAGATGACGTTCCCCACCCTTGGTTTTCAAACAAGAAAACTTTTAAAACTATCCCTCCTCAGCAAACATATCTGTCATTATTGGTGTCAATCAAGCACAGAGAGCTCAGATTAGGTGAAAATTGGTTTTGCATTCCTTTTTAATCATGCTATAGAGTTTTTTATGCAGAAAGGGAGTGTAACCCTATGGGGTCAGAGAAGGTGTGTGGGTTGACTTGGTTGCCCTAAAGTTGAAGTGAATAGAGGCATCAAAGAATGAAACACCTTTATGAATCAAACATGACCTGCATTTGTGTGGGTTGTTATCAGCTGAAAAGCAGAGGTGGTAGCTGTAATTAGCAGCAGGTTCTGAAGGAAAATCCTGCATAGTACGCTGCTGCATGAGTGCCACATGCCTTCGGGGTTCTGGTTTTCCCCATGATTTTTGCCTGACAAGCAGTAATAGCACCCCTGTTAATGAGTGAGTTATTAACTGGATGAAAATGTGGAGGCGTACGGGGAGGTTGTGTGGATTGCCCCCAGGGCCGTGGGATGCTGGCAAGCGGGTATGCTCCATTGCCCTGTGCTTTCGGTGAGTGTCTCCATCGCAGCAGCAGCAAGACTGGCTTCGACTTTAAAATCATGGCTGTAGTCCTTGTAGTCCCCGTCGTCCAAGGTGGGGGCTGTCACACAATCCCTGTTGGTCTGCTCCATGCTTGTTGTGTGCATGTTGAAGGGAAAGGTTGATGGATAAAACCCATCCAAACCATCTGTTGTCTTTGCTTTAGGAAATAAGGTAGGGCTGGAAAGAAGGTCTTGGGCTAGCGAAGTGCTGATATAACCAGATGCATGTTAATAGATAATTAACAGCTAATAAACAGCTAACTTTTAGGTCCAAGAGGCTTTTGTGGTTATTTAGGTGGAACTATGCTCTCCTTGTTCATTCTGAAAGGGTTTATTTAGGCATTAGTTCCAGTAAGGAAAGGACAAGTTCATATGAGGACATTCTTACCTGACAGGTAAAGGGTATTCTTGTAGCCCTTTATGTCGTCTTACGTGCAGTTATGTGCATTAAGAGTCTGCAAAAGAGTATCCATTATGTACTAGCTATATTTTGCATTAATTGGGGGTTTTTTCCCTTCCTCTTTTATAATATACTATATATTGCTGCCTTTCCCCCCCCTTTTTTTTAATGACAGGTCCATGGGCACTGCATGTGCAGGCATAATACCAAAGGGTTAAACTGTGAGCAGTGTTTGGATTTCTACCACGACTTACCCTGGCGACCCGCGGAAGGCCGCAATAGTAACGCATGCAAAAGTGAGTTTGGGTGAAGTGCAGATCTGGAGTCGGGTGTGAGCGTTACGGGTGTGACTATATATAAAGTCCTGCATGTTCTTTGGTTGACTTTGGCCTGTCTTTTCCCCAAACTTGCATCTCCCCTGTTTCCAGATGCTCATTGCTTTCTGTCTTTGTCACAGAGTGCAACTGCAATGGCCACTCCAGCCAGTGCCACTTTGACATGGCTGTGTACATGACGACGGGGAACACCAGCGGCGGAGTGTGCGACGACTGCCAGCACAACACCGTAGGACGCAACTGCGAGCAGTGCAAGCCCTTCTACTTCCAGCACCCGGAGAGGGATCTGCGGGACCCCGATGTCTGCGAGCGTAAGTGCAGCCCCGCTCCTCAGTGGGAATGGCCATGGCATCGTGACCATGGACTCCACAGTCTTTTCCGTGGGGAATTTAGGATTTACTGACTGCCTTTTGGCCAGTGGCGTGCTTCTGAACAAAGATCCTTGAGGGAAGGCGGTTGCTTGGAGGCCTTGAGCGAGCCTGGTTGGACTTTGTTTTCTGTTTGAGGATCTGGAAATATATCTGGTCATTACGTGTTCAACCCGTGTCATGTCTAATGCTTGCAGGAGTGATACACTCTCTCTACACAGCAGCTGAGTTTAAGTAATCCAGTGCGAGGCTTGCCCGTTCCTATTGCAGCTGTTGATAAAACACACGCGATGCTTCCTTCCTAGCTTGCAACTGTGACCCAGCTGGCTCCCAGAATGGTGGCATCTGCGACCGCTACACCGATTTCTCCACTGGCCTCATTGCTGGACAGTGCCGTTGTAAATTATTTGTTGAAGGGGAGCGTTGTGACCTCTGCAAAGAAGGTTTCTATGGCCTGAGTGCCGATGACCCAGCGGGTTGTCAGTGTGAGTAAAAACATATGTTCCTTTATGTGTGATCAAAAGCTCTTTGAGGAGCTGTTAGAGCCGGGAGAAGTTGGTTTGTGGGGTGTTTTTTTTTCCCCTTTGTTTCATGTTTTTGCTAAAGGAAAAACATTCTTGTAGATTTGCCTTAGCTTGGGATCCACCCACCCTTAAAACTCGGTTCCCCAGCTGATTCCTTTGGTGCGTTCAGTGGAAATAGCAGAATCCTTCTTATTTGTTTTTAATTATAAGTCTCTGAGCTAGGGAAGTTTTACTGGGATGGGGGGTGGGCAAAGGGCGCAATTAATCTCTGTCCTGGGGAATTTAGGGGAAACTTTAATGTAAATATTTAAGTTGGAAACTGTGTATAACTGTAACTCCAATCCTGTGTTTTGACCTGCCTGTCTGTGTTTCCCAATCTAGCTTGTGCGTGTAATCCTTTGGGTACCCATCCCGGGGGGAATCCGTGTGACTCGGAGACAGGAAACTGCTATTGTAAGCGCCTGGTGACAGGAAAGCAGTGCAATCGCTGTCTGGTAAGTAGCTTACCATAAATTGAATGAGAAGGTACTGGTGTGAGAGAGGCTGGCATGCCAAAAGCACGGAGCAAGGTGCTGGCTGCCGTCTGACCGTGTGCAAGCGGGCGCCCGGCGTTCAGACCGGAGCAGGCACCTTGGGATGTTGGGAGCTGTGAAGCACGTCAAGGCAGACAAGCATCCAGAAATTAATTCCCGGGACCATAACGAGTGAGACATTAGGATACCTGTTGCAGTTGCTCTCTGAAAGTGAGGGATCTGGGGCATTTCTGCTGGAGCCCTCACTGGGGTGAAAGGCAAGACAGCTAGAGAAGCAATATTAGCAAAAAAATTGCTTTCTATTCAGGCCATTATTTTAGTCAGGGGTTGTTTCATACTCATACATTTCCATATAGTGTTATGTGTGCTGGAGTGTTGTAGAAGCACGCTGTCAGATAACTGGATGTGTTTGTATAAACACTGACAAGCTCTCTTATCTGACAGTGGACTACAAGGAAAAGCCAAACAAATCTGTCTGTTTGCTGAGTAAGTTGCAGAGTAGCAGCCCTGCGTGGGGAGTGCCCCATGCAAAGCCCTGCGGCCCCAGGCACCGCTCTGCCCTGTGGTGTGAGGTACTGGGCTGTCATCTTCCAAGCCCTTCATGGGTCGGGAGCCCAAACTGGTGTCGGTGGTACAGGAGGAGTGAGGTCTCTGAGCTGGGGTTCTCCTGAATCTTGCTTTTAAGGCAGGGACAAGTGTGTTTGTTTGGGTTTTTTTTCCCTCAAGCGTCTGAGAATGTCAACAAGGTGGAGGAGAGCAGGCAGGGAGGTTGTGTTGGTGGTTGTGGGTCTACCCCCGCAACCAGGGGAGCAGGATTCGTGGTTTTAGCGGGCACTCTGAGGTGGCTTATGCTGAATATTTCAAAATGTGCCTTTGGGATAGATTGGGTTAAATTGACACCGTGTTACAGTACTGGTGATGTTTCTTCTGCAGCCTGAGACCTGGGGCCTGAGCAACGACATGGATGGATGTCGGCCGTGCGACTGCGACCAGGGAGGAGCGCTGAATAACAAGTGAGTCTTAGCCCAGTTTTTCTCCTGTAACCATTCACTCCAGCGAGATTTGCTTTGTGTTTAACCACAACATCCTGGGCTCGATGTGCTCTGGAGGAGGCTATTTGAGACAGTGTTCCTGCTACAGCGTGCAGAATGTGGCAGGTCTGGACTGCAGCAAGGGGTGACAGAGGCATCCGTGTCTTTTCCATGCTGAGCAGCCTCGTCTATGCTACTGGTGCCCATGAACACGTAAAACTGTAGTGTAGCTCTGCCTTTGGTCAGCCAGTGTGGGTTGAGCTCTGCCTTGGCTATAACCCGGCGTGTGGTCCGTGTCAAAGCTTTGCTGTCATGGGATCAAAGCGGGAATCAGGCGGTGACATGGGCAGTCAGACTGGCTCTTGGTTTCCTCCCAAACTGGTCCTTTGGCCTGTCTGTCTGTATGTCCACCAGTGCTGTGGGAAGCACACCAGCTGCACAGCACTGCTGCATTGCCCCGGCGGTGCTGTGTGGGGTGAGATGTGGGCCTGGAAGCGCCCGTTGTGGAGGTGGAGATTTTTCAGAGGAAAACGCAGGTTTTGAAGATGCATCCATCAGTAAGAGCATGGAAAGTCCTGGCTTAAATGCCTAGCCAGAGAGGTGCTGGGTAGCCAGACCGCTTCTCCGACCAGAGCAGTTTTCTGTGCCTCTCTGTCCCCAGGCTTCTCAACAGCAGCATGTTCCTTCACTTTTTTTTTTTTTTTTTACTTCCCTCCATAAACCTTTTGAAACATCCTGCTTTTGTCTGAACCCACAGAAGTTTCCCAAAGGGGGCAACAAACTGTTTTCCACTGGAGCTGGCAGGCCCAGACTGGGGGAGTTTGGGATTGGTCCCAGTGTGACTCCTTGTAGGTCGTCACAGCCTGCGGACACCCCATCTGTTGCAGGGATTGCCATGGGAATGTCACACAGGCCGTCTCTCCTCTCCGCTCCCGAGTGAATTATTACCCCTCGGCAGAGAGCGGCGTGGTCGTTAGTGATTATTTACTCCTCCGTGCTCGCTCCCTGCGTGCGGATCGGTTACCCCGTACAGCTTGTAACGCTCCCCTGGTGCGGCCGCTGCGGGGGCTTGGGTACGGCTTGGCTGTGGCCACGCAAGGCTTTGCAGCCTGTTTCCCATGCGCTGAGCCCAGCGATTGCAAAACCCCGCGGGGAGGGGATGTGCTGTGTCCTGGTGCAAGCGGGGAGCAGCTGCGCTTCCCGCTGGCCGCAGGAGAGCCACGAAGCCTGGCTCTGGCTCCCAGCTTCGCTCTTTAATGTCAGTGGGAAGGGGGAGCTTAGCCCTCCCCGGGGCTCCTATCCTCCGCTGCCAAATCTCTGCCTCCTGGCTCCCGTTCAGGGCGTGGGATGCAGCGCCTGGGGCAGCCGCACCTTGCCCGAAATTCATCCCTGCTCTGTAACCCAGGTGGTGGAGTCCTTGCTGCCCCCGGAGGGGAAACTTCCCAGCTCCCCTTCCAGGGCTGTCTGGGGACAGTAACACCACCAAAAGGCGACTGGGGCTACAGCTGTATGGAGAAAAGAAGATGGCTCGTTTTGAAGGGAGTGTCACCCTGGACAGGCCTCTGTTCCCCAGCCACGGCTCTGTCTCACATCTTTGGCTGTGTTGTCCTACTTTAAAGCAGCCAGGTGTGCTTTTCCCCCCCATGTAGCTGCTGGTGGGCGACCTCTCGGGCTGTGCTTTGCAGCACACCAGGGCAGCGTGACAGCCCGGGGCGTGCAGGGTCACGCGTGGTGTTGCTTTGCCTGAGCCCATACAAACATGCGCTGCTTGCACGGCCTGCAAGCCTGGAGCCGACGGCTGCTCTTGGTTTGCAGGACAGACGTGCCTCTTAGCTACGTCTGGTAACAAGTGAAGCTCTCCCATAGCATGAAATCCTCTCTCCATCCAAACAAAGGAAACCGCATGCAAAGTGCCTACTGGAAATGGTCCCTGGCCCATGCTCGCTCCCCGCCTGAGCCTAGGAGTTGTTTGGGAGAACAATAGTCGGGTTGAGCCAAGGCTGCACCCGGGACCGTGCTGCCAGTTTAGCAGTGCAGATGGTCCGGCTGCAGAGCCTGAGAACATCCCCTGTCTAGACGCAGCGGTGTCCAGAAGCACATCTCCTGGTGTGTCACTTAAACCATGACAGCAGGAGACAGCTCTAGCACGGTCTCAACAGGGCCAGGATGTGTTGTAAATTCCTTGCTCTTCCATTTTAGCTGCTCGAGTGAGTCTGGCCAATGCGAGTGCCGGCCCCACATGTTTGGACGTCAGTGCAACCAGGTGGAGCCTGGCTATTACTTCATTTCTCTCGATCATTACATCTACGAGGCAGAGGAAGCCAGCTTGGGTCCCGTGAGTAGCAGTTTTAGTGGGCTGGTGTGTCTGGACAGCTGTGGGAAAGTTGTTTCACCATTTGGGTGTTGGAAGCGTCTGTTTTTATACCCCGAGTATTTCACAATTAAAATGTGGAAGACACAAAACTGAATTCTAGCAGAAAACCATCAACCTCTTCAGTAGCTCTTCAGTCTTAGTATTGATAAATAATGTAGTACTTTAGGGGGGGAAAACTGCCATTTGTCTTTTTGAACTGTTGTTTGATCATGACTGTACTATTTGTTTCCTGTCAGTGTCCCCCTCTGTACCCCACTACGTGCATGCCCACACACCCACTTCTTTCCCTCTTATCTCAAGAGTGGTGGGACACTAACGCTGGCTCTTCTCTTCGGTCCCACTGAAACTGGGAGGGAACAAAGCATGCATTTAAGCACATTGCCGTGGCTTTTAGGGTTTCTGTACATCAGTAACATTTCCTTTAATAATGACTAAACCCATGGTTGACTATGCAAAAGACTGTTTTTGCAAGCGAGGGTGCGTCTAGCTTGTTTAGCCCGCTGGCGTGGTACGGCAGGGTCTCTGGCTCTTTCCGTACACCACCATACAGCCTTGCTTTTAGTTCATTAACAGAGCTAGGTGATTACATCAATTACTTTTGCCTCCAGCAGGGAGTCAGGGAAGTGAGATGATGGTTTCTCTAAAGCAGCAGATCCTTGTCTTCCTGCAACTGGGGCACTTGGTCCTAATTTATTTACTTCAGGCCAAATGCAGCTTCAGCCAAGGCAAGGGATTTTCACTGTTAGATAACTGCGGAGAGGGGAGACGACGCAGAGCAGAAGCTGGACTGCAGTGGAGGGAGTGTGAGCTGGCACAGGGGTTTTGGTGCATTTGTGTCTGCCTTGCTGCAGGGGTGGTACCCAAGGCCTCAACGAGGCTCAGGGATGGAGGAGTCTGGCATGAAAACCCTCCTTGCTAAGCAGGGTGAGGGGATGTGCCACTGGTTCACCTTTTGAAACCTTAGAACAAACCATTTTTAAAAATGCCAGTATTGAAAAGCTTTCTCACAACTCTGGTGGCAGAATAAAACTCTGAATTCCCAGGTAGGGGCTCAGCACAAGACAAAATGAAGCGGCACAGAGTCACAGGGATTTTCAACCCCCCACAGCTGCACACCCCTGCTTACATCCCGCCTGCCACCCTTTCTGGGGAGCTCCGACCCTTTGTGCAAAGCCAAAGGGTAACAGCTTATATAGCCAGGCTCTCTTCAAAGTGTGTGGGAATACTTGAAAGGACATCCTGAGGTGATACGTGTATATATAGAGAGAGACATTTCCTTACATTTTATCCCTTTCTACTGAGGCAGCTTCCTAAGGAATGCACAGGATGTTGTTCTATGGAAAGAACTATTCATGGACACAGATATATTTGAAATGGGAAACATGTTTCCATTTTCTGTTGCCCTTTTCCTCGTCTTTGCTTTATATAAAGAGTAGCAGATAAAAACGTGGCACCTCAGATTGAAAGGAGTGACCACGCATTGATTTGGATGTTAAATATCTATCGATGATTCGGATCTCTGCTATTTAGTGACCCCCTACGCATGATGGCCTGGGTCTGCTTTTCAAATGTTATCCTGGGCAGTGATTTGCTTTGGAGCGGCCTGGTGTAGTCAGTAAGTAATTAGCACTCAGCTTGGGCAGTTACGTGCCACTGCTACAAATCCCACTGCTACAAGCATAATGTGAAAGTCCTTACAGTGAACGAGATGTTGTAAGTGATCGACTAGTTACTCACAGCAAGTTTTTCAGTTTAATTACCCACTCTAACAGAAATGCATGAAGAGTTGTCTAGTGTTATTTTATCTTTCTTGATTTTTATACTTCGTTAATTGGAAAGGCAACGGCATGCACACACATGGGTTTAAAGGAGGATTCGTGTTCTCTGGGATGCAAACAATGGATGCTGTGACTCGAAGTAATCCATTAGCAGAACTTATCACTTCATGCCCTCCCATGGGACTCGCAAATTTAAAGTATTGGTATTAAAATCTCTGTTCCTTGTTTTTGTAGGGAGTAAACGTAATAGAGCGCCAGTACACGCCAGACCGCACACCATCATGGACAGGCATAGGATTTGTAAGGGTCCCTGAGGGGGCATACCTGGAATTCTACGTTGACAACATCCCCTACTCCATGGAGTATGATATTCTGGTCCGCTACGAACCACAGGTAGGTCTGTGAGTATGGGCACTGCTGTCTCCTGGCAGGCTCTGGCTGTCCTGGTGCACGACTGACAGGAGCAAGGAGCTTCCAGGAGTCACCAGGACTCAAAGAAAAGGATGGACACTCAGTTAAATGTCCAAGATGTGTGAAAATCCAAGATGATGTTGGCTATTACTAGTATTATTTGCTTTGCAGTTTTGTTCATTATTACATTGTTTCAGCACCTGTTTAGTGAGCAAATTGTAAAGTGAAAGTCCTGTCAGGACAGATTAGAATATAAATTTGGCATCAGACAGAAGGCCTCCTAATGGGTGGGAATACTGTTATGCTCCTTAGGAGACAAATTGCCTGTCTTGGATGTTGAATGCCTGCAACCAGGAGTTTGCAAGCAGTTGGCTTTGACATAATTTGGA